TTTTCACCATTAGAATAAGAGCGATTTGTGTGTATTTAAAACTTGGTGGAAGATTATGGTCATTTATATTTTCAAGACTCTAAAATATGCCAAAATTTGATACAATTCATCCGGAACCAAGACTTTTGAGGGGGCATTTGTGATATGGCCTAGGTTACCTCATCGACTGTGAAAGAGCGGGATAAAAATTGACGGGCTTTATGTGATACCCTAGCATCAATGCTCTCAAGAACCTCATATTCTCATCTCCACGGGGATTGAACGACCAATATGTGCTCAAAGCACGCATAAATTGGGGCGATGACCTTACAAAAATCCATTCCATCTCATTATCCTAGCGACCTTATTTGTAAGGTTCCATTTCTTTTTGAACTCTCCGACAAATTGGGGCAATGACCTCCTCAGAGAATCTCTCCGAACATCTTAGAATCGGCGGAATTTGAAATTTTCATTTTGTAGTCACGCATAATACAAATTATTGTTCAAAATACAAATTAATTTTAACTCTAATTCATCCATATAAAAATTGAGCGAGTTTCCATTAAAGGAATGACAAAAGAGATTCAAATAAACAAATTTAAGCACGAAGACCAAATTTACATTAGAAGTTACAAACAAACTCCTTTTCAAAGTGATTATGAGTTTTTTTGGTTTCATAATTAGTTTTTTTTTTAAACATTAAAAAGCTCATAATCACTTTGAAGAAGCCGTTGCAAAACAACCTAAATACCCAAGAACACATCCATAAATATATAATCATCAAATTAATTAGCACTACTAAATCCCTACAATCTCAAGCTCCTACAGCCGCAGCCATTGCAGGCTTCACTTTAGGGGGCCTACCACGGCCGCGCGGCGGGCCAGCGGCAGCAGCTCGCGGAGGTGCAGCCAACCCAGCGCTAGCAGCAGCCTTGGGCGGGCGGCCGCGTTTTCTCCCAGAAAGAGCATCACTCGTACTTGCGGCCGTGGGTTTAGGCGGCGGCGGAGGAGCCGCTGGGTCGCGGGACTTCGGGGGACGGCCACGTGGACGGGGCGGGGACAGGACGGCGGCGGCAGACGGCAGAGAGGTTTTGGGCTTGGGTGGTCGTCCTCGGCCGCGGCGCGGCGGCGGAGAATTGGTGTCGGGTTTGCGGTAGCTGTTCTTGGAGAAAATAAGCTGACCGGATGATTTCATCTTGTTGAGGTGGTGGGTAAGAAGAGTGGAGTGAGCCGGCGGCAGGTCTCCGTGGGTATCTTCGATTTGCTTCGAGATCGAAGATTTGTTTGAGCCCTGATCTTCGTTCAGCGCTTCAATCGCTGCTAAAATCATCTGTACAAAATTTATACAAATATTTTCAAGAAAAAAGACCAAAAATTGACTGAAAGGAGACAAAAAAAAAAAAAAAAACCCTCTACCTCTGGGTACGGAGGCAAGCCGCCGGAAACGAGCGGTGGGACCGGCGGCGGCGGCTGAGCCTGATTATCAATATTATCACACTGCACTTCTTCACTTGCCATCACCACAAAGTAAAGATCTCCTAAAATTCGGGGAAACAAAAACCCTAATTTCTAGAGTGAGAAAATAAAAAGGGAGTGAACTGAAGGGTTATAAAAGGGGTTAAACAGAGGGATCGGAGATGGATCGAGAATTGAAAATATCAAAAATAATGAAGAGAGGATTGAGTGTTTTAGGGGGTTGAATCTACGGCAGGGATTGTGTTACAGGTTCTTAATCAACGGCTGGATGTGTTTGGGAGAAGAGCGACATGGATCGGTGACGTGTCTGTGCTATTTCTTATCTTGTTTCATGCTGATTTGAGATACTGAAATTACTAGGTTGTCCCTCTTGGACTGAACTAAAATTTGAAATGTTGGGGAGTGTCATCATAACCTGCCCGGGCGCTTCAACAATATCACGTGCGCGTCGTGGGTTTATTGGTTGAAGATGAGATGTATCCGCTGAGGAAGACAAAAGGTTTAATTTCACTTTGCACCCTTGAAATATACCATTTTAGCACTTTGCACCCTCGAAACAAATTAATAGCACTTTGCACCCTCGAAACACAATATATCATGCATAATGCACCCCACATGAGTTTTTAAAATTAATAAAGGTAATTTAATATTTTTAGTGGTATTTAAAATTATATATTTTATGAAAAAAAAATATTATACGAAAAAAAAGTCTTTCAGCTATTTCGTTATCAAGTTATCTAAAAAGCATATTTTCTTCCAAATATTACAACCTAATATTTCCACCAATTGCAATAAAAAATCTATCAATTGAATAATTTAGTGATAAAGTTTTATATTTTATTTTGTAAGATTTTTTTATTTTTTTTACTTATCCGGTGTGATTAAGAGTGCAATGTGCTATTATAGTTTTTCATGGGTTTTAAGAGTGCAATGTGCTACTATAGTTTTTCATGGGTGCAAAGTGCCAAAATGTTCCATTTAAAGGGTGCAAAGTGGGATTAAGCCGAAGAAAAATGGGTCTACTTGAGAAAACCCCCTCACACATTTCACTACAAAGAGACTCAATTCATATTTCACTATTTGGACAAATCCATACTCCTTTGACCTTTTCTCTAATTCCTAAATCGTCCTTTCACTATCTTTTTTCAACTACTCTCATCCCTATTTTCGTTTTTTTAATTAATTTTCAAAACTTTTTTATTCTTATAATTTTTTGTATTCTTTTTTCTCCTTTTTTTTTACTTTTTTTTTCACCGTTAATTAGATGATTAATTGATTATGAACTGAGTCATAGTCGATTAAGAAATTGATTACTAAAGTTGTTGTTGAATAATGAAATTAACTACTAAATGTAACAAAAACAACCGTAATGTCGTCAATGAAATCCAACACGATTCAACAAAAAAATTCATACAAAATAACCAAGCGAAACAAAAACTAAAAAAAACTAAAAAAAACGATATCAATTATTTTTTACAAAACAACAATTATACAAAAAATGTATTGATTTATACAAATTGGGATGATGGATTAACAATGACAAAACAAAAACACACTACCGTTTAGCCTCAAGTCTGACTACACGTGGCAAAATATGAAATTAATAGCCAAAAATCCAAAAATAAATTGAAAAACGTAGCGATTAACCTTAATTGACTACTGAACACAGTCGATTAAACCTTAAATCGAAACCTGGTGTAAGGATCGCCCGGTTTCCAGCC